GGGGATAGGGCCTGGCATCTCTGTATCTTCAGAGCCCCCTGGTGATTCCAATATGCAGAAAACACTGAAAACAGCATGTTAGCCTGGGCCTTGTGGCAAGAAGTCAAAGATCATGATTGTTTGCCCCATTGTAGATCTGTCCTACCCAGCACAATGTACCTGGTACACAGAATAAGCTCAAGAAATAGTGTTAGAACGAATGAATGAATGAGCGCACTAAAGGCTCTGAGAAGGTCTGTGACTAGAAAACTTAATTTTGCTGAAACCCGGTGTTTCCCAAACTTATTTCACCATGGAATTCTTTTTTCCTGTGGAAAACCTATGAATGTCTAATAGAACACCTGTGAAACCCTGCAGGGGAAATGCTGGTCGGAGAACTCTCAGGGTGGGTTACTCTGGCTTCAAAATCTTGACCTGGGGGTAAGTTACCACAAACCTTGTGCAAGGGAGGGGAACTCGAAGATGGCTACCTACTCCCCTACCATCTGGCCCATCTCTGCTGCCTCCAAAATCCCAGGAAATGTGTGGTCCTACTCCCCTGGGTTTGGCAAGACAATAAAGATAATATTAACAATGACAACAACAACTGACACCATGGCTATGATCCTCCAGGGGCCTCCAGCTTTTTCTGCACTTCAAGAAGCTAAGCTAAGAAAGAAGGAGTCCTGGCAGGTGCCTGCACTGGCCCACATGGGGGCCACCCTCTCTCTCCTGCTGTCCCACGAGGACCTAGAAAGTCTTCCTGGCCCCCTTAAGCTCGCCAACACTCCGAGTTCACTGGGCTCAGGGGGCCTCCAGTACAACCAGGGAGGACTCAACCCACCAAGGGGCTTTTTATAGTTGGCCTCCCTTCCCTGGGCCCCAGCCTCCAGCCGAGATTTCAGCCTAAATGGGAAAGAATATTCCTTGGGGAGGCAGAGGCTGTGCTTCTAACTTAACCATTTAAAGACTAGAGTCAGAGGCAGCCCAGGAGCGAAGTGGATCGCCCAGATAGCAGGCAGCCAAAATATGCTGGCTCAAAGCATAGGCTCTTGTGGGAGAGGGGCAAATGGACTGAGGTCCAAATCTCAGCCCTTCTGCTTTCTGGCTGTGTGACTTTAGGTAATTCACCTTCACTCTCTGGCCTCAGTTTCCTCATCGGTGAAAATGATGATAAAAGTAGTCCTGACCTCGTCAGTGGCACAGAGTAAGTATACAATACACAGTGGCCGTTCTTTTTCTGGCCCCAAAGGTCTCACGGTTCACTAGAGAGCAGACAGCAATTCTGTCTAGAATAGCTCCAACAGGCGTGCTTATTATTTGGACACTGTGTTTATGCCTTTTCGCATCCATTCACTCCTTCATAAGCAACATGAGTTTCATTATCTGCCATTTATGGATGGAGAAACTGGGGCCTAGGAGTGAAGTCACTTTCCAAAGGCATCTTAGGTGGGAAGTGGCTGAGCTGGGATTTGGCCAAGGGTTGTCTGATTTAAGGCCAGAGTTCTCCGCAGAAGAGACAGGCTTGATGCAAAACTCAGCTCCAGTGCTAGGACTGGTGGGTACTCTGATTTTACAGTTCATCTCGGAGCTGCAAGGGAACCAGAATGGGATACGAGGGAGGAAAAGTTTGGCTGCCTGCTTTTGCTAGCATGATGGGGGGAGGGGTGGTGTCTGGGGCTGGGAAACTGTCACAACCTGAGAACAGGTCCCATGGTGTGTTCTCTCTTGGGCTTAAGTAGAGAAATTCTAACTCATGAGTGTTTTGACTGTGTTTTCTTAGACTCTGTATTTGTCTATGTAGCACCCACTAATTACAGGGTCAAACTAATAGCCAAGGTTGTTTACATCTTCCCTGCAATCCAGAGCCCATATCCCCAGCCACCTCCTTGAGCTAATGCTCACACATCCAGCCAATATTTCTCCTGCCCAGGATCACCCAGGACCAGGTACCAGACAACCAGAGGCTACCCTGATAGCCCGGAGCCCGCTGACATTACTCAAAGTAGACAACGCTAAGCTGTTTCCCCTGCCCTGGCCTGAGGTGTGCAGAAAAACACAATAAAACCTGTGGCCTATGCTTTCCCTTTGCTTCTTTCTGCCTCCTCACCGACCCTGGTGATTCCCCAGGTGGCCCTGTGTGGTGTGACATGTCCCCTTCTCTAGGAAAACGTAAGTCATAAAGATCTTCTTTCAATGGCATTAGCCTCTCCGTGTTGTCCTTCAGTCACCTCCATAAATTAAAATCTCATGGGTACAATCATTGATACAATGAGTCAAGTGCGTCACCTGTCACACAGACTTTAAGGATTAGCATAAGAGCGATAGCCAGCTGTTATGTACTAAGTAGCAGATGCAATCCCAATCAGATGTTTCCAATCAGATCTCCTCTGCTCCTCAGTCAAGTAACCCTGAGAGGTATTATTCAACCCAGCTTTGGGCTATCCCGACCACTCAAAGCCCAGAGTCCCCAGATGGAGGGAAACCGAGAGATGCCTACCTTTCAGGTGGAACGTTATCCGTGTTACTGCTGTGGCGTCTCTGCATTTTCCTTAGGACCTGAAAGCCAACACATGGCATAAGCCCGATTCTACCAATGTTCCCACTGCTTATCAGATTGCCATGGTAACCATAAATAAGGACTACTCGTATCTCACATCCCTAGAGCGCTCTGACATTTTCCAAACCTTGTTTCCATCTGCTATGCCATTCACTGTTCAATCCTATTGAGGAAAGTGTTACCACCCCATTTCACAGGTGAGGATGTTGAGACCCAGACATGGAGGAAGTCCTCATGGGAGAGAGGAAAGCAGTGAACTGTGCAGCAAAGAGGTGATGGATGAGGTGAAGTGAGCAGTGCACTGGCAGTAGGAGACACGGACTCTGGACTGATGCTGCCCCTAATTTGCTGTGTGATGCTGGAAAAAACCATAACCTCTCTGTGGCCCCAGATTCCTCATCTGTAAGATGGGAGGGACTGGAGTGGCTGAACCCAAAGCTTCTTTCCAGTGCTCATATTGAATAAAGTGGTAATGAAGATGTGAATTCTCATGGAGACACGTCACCTTGTTCACTGTGAGGAGCCACATGGACTTTAAAACTCCATGTTGACGACACCTGAGGTGGGCATTCAGGGGTCCTGATGGGGATGTGGCCACTGGATTCCAGACGAAGCACAGGCCTCTCCCTCCTCTTCCTCTCCAGATGGATGCACAGGTCAGGAGAGTTCCAAACCCTACACGGAACAGAACACTTACATGAATAGTCCACGGATGCCTCGAACCTCAGAATAAGTCTTGGGGCATCATGGGTACTATAAGCATATGATTCTGTCTGCTCCAAATCTCTGGTTAGCCTCTCACTTATCCCTCTTCAGGACTCCTGAGAATGGTCATGATTCAATGTATTTTGTCCTATTTTCGAACTGATTCCTAAGTGGGGACTACAAAACATAAGTTTTAGAACCCACAGTGGTTTTCCATTGTAATCAGAATAAAATCCAATTTCAATTCACCGCCTACAGGTTCTATCCGAAGCTCATTCCCTCTAATCTCCCTTTATCCACCCCCTCCAGCCACAGTAGTCTTTCTGTTCCTTAAACATGCCAGCTGTCCCTGCCTCAGGCCCTTTAAACTTGCTGTTCCTTCTCCCTGGAATGCTTTCTCTTGTGGCTAGTTCCTTCAAGTCAAATGTCACCTCCTCCCAGAGGCCTTCTGCTCTCACCCTCCGGACCCACCATAACATTGCCCTGTTTAACCTTCTTCATAGCACTTACTTACATGTTTGCTTATTAATTTATTATGTCCTTATTAGAAGGTAAGTGCCACAAAGGCAGGGCGTCTGTCTGCCTGGTTTGCTCCTCTACCTCAGCATCTGGAACACTGCCTGGCACAGAGTAGCACCCAACAAGATTTATTCAATGAGTAAAACATTTATGGGTCTCTCAGTTACCTTCTCCTACATCCCTTGCTCCCTCCCAGACCTTTCACCTTAGAGAATAAAAGTCGTAGACCTTCCACGAATAGGTTTAGCCTCCTTGAACATTTTTTTTGTATAACCAAATATGCTGCCTCTTTTAGTTCAGGGTACCATACTCGGTTGTTGAATGACAGCCATGTCATCTTAATGCCCTCCTCCTAAAATACCCCATCACCTGAAAATCCTTGGGGAAAATAAAATATAGTATCCCAAAGCTTCCATCCGCAAATTTGACCCAGCGTCCTAAATCAAATGCCCCCAATTCTACATTCAGGTGCTTGCTTTCGAAGCGGCTCCAAAGTCTCTGTTGGAAGGAGGACTTAAATAATTATTTCAATATTGAATTCTGTAATTAATTTTTTGCACGTGGGACACATCTGATTGAAACGCCTTTTAATCCTCTGCTGCATTTATCGTACTACATCCCTATGAAGAATTACATCATGAGTTTTCAATACAGGTTATATTTTAAGTTGAGCTCCCGGGCCGTTACCTGACTGCAGCGAAATGCATGCAAGAGAGCATCTCCTGCATTATTACTTGCACTGGAAGCTGGCAGGTGCACTTTGGGTACAGTGCCACGAGCGCTTTTCATTCCTGCAGCCAACGGTCAGCGAAAAACGCCCTAGAGACTGCAAAGGCAGGAGACTACACGGGCCATCCCAGGGAACAAAAAACACACCAAAAAAAAAACCAAAAAACGCATTCTTTTTTTTACCTGCCCCGACAATTAAGCAATCACAGCGGCATCTTTCACGTCCTTCCAAGCCAATCACCCTTGCTGCTCGGGGAGCACGTGACTTCCGAGTGCTTCCGGCCTCTCATTGGATTCTCTCTCCGGTTGACTGGCCCGGTGCTGAGGTCCCGGCACAGCTTACTCCGGGCCGCACGCACATGATTGCCCGCCCCCTTTCTGGGGTTTAGCCAATAGAAAGCCGCCCCTCCGCAGGGACCAATGGCAATGAGGCCGAACGAGGCCGGCTGGGGACGCACGGGGAGTGGAGGCGGGGCATAGGGCGTGGTCACGTGAGGCGGCGCGGGGTGGCTGTCGGGAGCTGGCTGGGCTGAGGGCCGCGGGGCCGGCGCCCGGCGGGTGGGATGAGGCTGCCGGCCGCGTAGGGGCCATGCCGCCCGGGCTCCGGGCCTGCCCCGCTCCGCGCCCCGGCCGCCGCGCCCCGCGCCTGCGCCGGCATGGTGAACCTGGCGGCCATGGTGTGGCGCCGGCTCCTGCGGAAGAGGTGGGTGCTCGCCCTGGTCTTCGGGCTCTCGCTCGTCTACTTCCTCACCAGCACCTTCAAGCAGGTCAGTGGCCTCCCGCCCTCCCGCGTTTGCCCCGGGCGCCGCGGACAGCGCTCCCGGCTGCCCGGCTTCCTCGCCGGGCCGGGGAGCTGCCCGTGCAGCCGCTGCCTGTGTCCCGGCACGTGCACCTTCCCGCCCCGGGACAGGACGGCGTGGTGCGTGCGCGAGAAGGCGCTGCGGGGCCGGCGGCGGGGGCTCGAACCCCGGGCTGCGGGCCTTGCCCTGGGGACTGTTGTCACCCTGTTGCCCCTCTCTGCCCCGCCGGCGTGCATCTCACTGCACCTTCGCGGCAGTCCTGGCGGTGGGGCGCAGAGCGGCCGGGAAGCCGGGGCTTCGTGTAATCCGGGGACTCCGCTGTCCACCTGGGAGGCAGCAGGGCCCACGAGGTGCCCTTTCTGGGCACATCTTGGGTGGAGTGTTCTTTCTGCCACCACCACCCCCTTAAGACTTATTTTAACGTGAGAGTTAATGGGAGAAAAGAGGGTGCTTTGGTAGGAGAGGTTGCCAGAGCAGCCGAGTGTGTTTGGGAGTCCCATCCTGAGCGTTAGGGTTTCTAGGAAGCATGGACACCGCTCAGGGTGTTCCAGTCATTACGAGTCGCCCCTGCTTTTTTTCACTCTCCAGGGTCAAGTTCATCAGCAGAACATATCAATGGACAGGAAGTAAATGTTGTGGTCACCCTACTTCTATCGGGTTGGCAGGGGAGCCAGGAAAAGGGAAGACAGGGAAGTGTGCCCCACGTCCCACCTTCGGCAAACAGAGGCCGAGTGTTGTCAGCGGCTTGCATTGACCGAGATGTGTGGGTGACATGCGTGTGAACCAAGTGTTTTCTGCCACCTCACAGACCACTCCTCCTGGTCACGGGTTGCCCCTTCTCTGCGCGATGGACCTCTGAGTGAGCCCGGACTCAGACTCCCCTCCCTCCCTGACCCCTGGATCTCTGGCGTCATTGATTAAGTACCAGCTGTATGCTCTTGAGATCCCAATTCGTAACTCCAGCCTAGACCTGTCCAGAAAACCCCACATTCTGTTACCTCCCGTGCACAGTGTCTCCTGAATCTGTTCCTGTCTCCTAATTGTCTCTGCTGCTGCCTTAAGTCAAGCTACCTTTATCTTCTGTCTGGACCGCTGCCGGAGCCACCAACAGGTCTATGCCTCCTTTCTTGTCCTGCAGTCAGTTCTCTACCCAGCAGTAGGGGCGATAAAGTTGTCAGGGCATTGCCCCGTGTTTAATTCTTTGGGTTCTTACCGCACTCAACAAACTCCACACCATTCAGGGATCATGGTGAATCTATTATGTCACTTCAGGTCAGGCTTACTGTTACTGCCTCAGGGACAAACGGTGTGACACAGTCTAAATTTCTTCACCTTGCCCATAGACCTACTTTCTTTTTAAAAATTTTTTTTATTATTATTTTTTTCTTTATTGATTTTAGAGAGTGAGGGGGAGAGAGGGAGAGAGATAGAAACATCAGTCGGCCACCTCCTGCATGCCCCTGCTGCGGATCAGCCCACAACCTGGGCATGTGCCCTGACTGGGAATCACCCGGTGACCTCTTGGTGCATGGGTCGATGCCCAACCACTGAGCCGCACTGGCCGGGCTGCTTTATTTTCTTTATAGTAGAAATGGAACATTTCTTGTTCATTTACTAGTTCATCTGTCTCCTCTCCCTTCTCGAGTGTAATTTTCTTGAGAACAGAAAATCCTGTTGTTCATAGAACCCCAGCCCCTAGAATTCTGCCAGGCACTTCATGGGCACTCAGATATTGGAACAAACAAATGAGTCTTTTCATTAGGATGACTTTTCCTTTCTTGTCAATCTGGCACATTCCTACTAATTTTTCATATCTTGAGTCAGATGCTGTACACTCTTTGACCTTCTCTGCAACCTCCCTTTACTCCAGTAGAATTACAGATGCGTTTTTTAAAAACCTGTGACTTATGACCATAATCGGGGTTGTTGTTTTTTGGGGGGTTAGTGGTGATTGTGATTTCCCTAAAACTCTTGGCAAAATTTTTGTTTTGCAGATTTCTCTGGGTCTGATTCCCCCACACCCTAAGAAACACTAAGAATAAGAAACACTTGAGTTGTAAACGCTATGCCTGCCAGTTAGCCCCTGGCAGTCTGTCTCTATGGACTTGCCTTTTCTGGACATGCCACATAAATGGAATCTTACAGCATGTGGTCTTCTGGGTCTGGCTTCTTTCAGTAGAAGCCCGTGTTGTCAAGGTTCATCCATGTTGTAGCCTGTGTCACTACTTCATTTTTATATCCGAGTCTGTTCGCTTGTATGCATGTACCACATTTTGATTTTTCCACGCATCAGTTGATGGACACTTGGATTGTTTCCACCTTTTGGCTGTTATGAGTAATGCTACTGTGTACATTGGTCTACAAGGTTTTGTTTGGAAAAACGTTTTCAGTTCTCTTGGATTTGGCCCTAGGAGTGGAATTGATGTGTCATACGGTGACTTTGTGTTTAACTTTTTGAGGAACTGCCAGACTGTTTTCTAAAGTGGTTGCACCGTTTGCAGTGAACTTTTAAGAAGCTACGCTTGTCAAGTTCTGATGTAGCATCAGAGAAAATTGTCCATAATCATCTGGAAAAGCTATTAAAATGTTCCTCCTATTTCCAAGTACACATCTGTGTGCAGTAGATTTTCTTCCTGTGCTCAGCCTGAAAAACATACTGCAGCAAATTGACTGCAGGGGAGATAGAAGAATCCAGCTGTCTTCCATTCAGACACACACTTAAAATATTTACAGAAATATAAAAACATTTTCTCTTCTCACTAAGTTTTTTTTTTAAAAAAAATAATTTCACACACACACACAAATGTTTGACAAGTCATAGGTTCGTTGTTATTGTTAAATGAATAAATAATGTATTGAAAATACACATTTTAAGAATTTGTTTTAATTTCCAATATGATAACTATCAATAGCCATAACCCCTATAAACCCACATTGGGGGTCCTCAGTAATTTTTAAGAGTATACAAGATCCTTGGGACCAAAAACGTGGCTGACGTTCTCCCTTATACGTTTGAGTGTGCTACCCTGTTCACTCTCTGCTGCAGTCTTGGTCATCTGTCACTCCCGATCTGGGTGACTTGAAGCCGGTCTGCTTCATTTTGCCTAGCCTCAGGTTCTTCATGCATACAGTGGAGATGGTGATAGGGAATGTGGGGTGAGGGAGGGGCTTGGGATTAATTGAGAAGAGGCTATGGAAAACTTCAGAGCTCCTCATGATCCTGAGCTCTGCTTCAGTGCGACCCTGAACTCATGGAGCAGACAGAGGTGGTGCTTTTTGCCTAGAGAATAGTGATTATTGTCTACTGCTTTGGATTTCTCTTTTCTTTGGTTTTTGTGTTAATTGATGCTTTGGGGATAGTTTACATTGTAGAGATGGGAGCGCAGGAGAAATTAGTGACAATGGCAGGGATGCTGTTGGGGAGAGGATTGGGAATGGTGACTGGTGCCCGGTGACTTGGACACATCTATTTAAATGTTCAGGGAACGCCCACGTGTTGCTAAGGCACTGTCTGCTAGATGATGAAGATACATGAGAGGCAAAGCAGAGAAGGCCTTCCTCTCCAAGAGCCTCTCTTCTGCTGGGGGCGGGGACAGAAATGGTAAAAAAGCAAAGTTATTTCAGACAATGATGTATGATATGAAGGAAACAAAATAAGATACCATGCTAGAGCGGCCGGGTGGGCCTATCGCTGTGTGGGGCATGTGAGCTGCGATCACAGAAACCTCGATCTTGGAGTCAGAAGGGTCCTTAGGGGTCCTTTCATGTAAGTAAATGGTCTCAGGCTTGTTCAAGTGGTGCAGTTCCTGAATCTCAGGCTATTTGCATAACTCTTCAAAATATATTCATGCCTTCAGCTTCAAAGTAATTAACTATGTAAATTGGTGCCAAATGAGATACTGTCTAAAGTAAAGTGGAATAAATCATAAGAGAGTTGCTAATCTGTTTTTTGTTTTCCACTAATCACCAAGGTACGTAACATTTTTCAGAAAGTTTGTGAAGTACTGCACAGGGTAGAGGAGGAAAATGACCGGTGTAGTGTCACTAGCCAGAGGGAGTCACTGATAATATTTGGGCATATTTTCTTCCTTTATTTTTCATAGGTTTAAAATATAATTGGGCATACTGTTTCTTCACTGAACATTATGCATTATCTCCTTCTTTAAAAGCGCTTTGTAAGGACAGTTTTTGTAACTAAAATTTTCCTTGATCAGGCTACATTGAGCCATTCCCCACACATCAGACATTTGGGGTGCCTTCTGATCTTCATCCCTACCCCACCCACCCCCGTTTTTTCTTTTGAGAATCATAAGCAGATCTTTTAATGATGTTGTCTTCTGTTTAAGTGCTTTACTTTGACCCTGATGATAACCCCTAAAAAATAGGACAGTTATTAATATACCCCCTTTAAACTCAGATATTAAGTAACGTACATAATAAAAAAATTTCTGTAGTTCCTTAACAGTTTATGAAGGAAGTTCTTGTGTGTGTTTGTTCCTCTTTGTTTCTGCTCTTTTCTGTGTACCCCATTGTAGCCCTGCGGACATCTGTCATGGTTGACTGCACTGATTTCTGATACCTCCTTATCAACTACTCTGGGGCCTCTGGGAGTAGAGAACCTGGCTACCTTCGTCTCTTTCCTTAACTCTGTAAGGTCTCGATGGCTTTGAATGGATCTTGAACAAGGAAAAATATGTGTGTGTGTGTGTGTGTGTGTGTGTGCATAAATATATATAAGCTTAAAATTGAGACAGCCCAATAGGAGAGGTGGAACAGTTCTAGAAAGATTTAAAACTACCTAGCCGATAAAGGAATTCCCTCAGTGCCCCTTCACCACACCCTTTGCAAGACTGGACTTTCACACAAGCGAACATGTACAATTCATTACATTTGCCACCTTACACAATCTCTTCTACAATCTTTTTTGATTGTACAGCTCTTATCCTTTTGGCAAGATCTTGAATATTCATGTTTGAAAACAATTTCAAGTGCTGGGAGAATTGCCTTCCTGTTTACCAGGAATGTAGTTATGTGGAAGAGGTCCTTCTGGGATGCACTTGCCCATGAAATCTTGCCCCCCCCCCCCCCAAAGAATAACAGGATAGTTTGAGAGTAATGTTAAGAGTACTTTTAACCTTGTAAGAGGCAGTTTACTGTACTTTGACCAGCCTCTTAACAGTCTTTATGGTTGTTAATTTATCTAGGGTAGCATTTGACGCTCAGTTTAGTTTGCACATAGCTTGATTATGCAGTTAACTGATAGGTCCCAGCAGAGCAGAGGAGTATGAATTTGCAGGTAGTTAAACAGTGTGCACCTAAGTGATTTGCCCCATATTCCCAAGGCTTCTGCACTTAGCTCCTCTTCTTGTACCAACTGAGGAGTGTAGATGTTGTTTTGCATAACCCGTCCTGTACCTGCTGGTGTCAGTTCTGTTCTTTAAGAGAAACAGAGGGAGGGACAGACCAGAAATGAAAGCCACCTTGAGGGATTGTTTTACACTAAGTAATTTAAAGAACAAAATTCAATCCTTGTGCGGCGGTGGTAAAATTGTAAACACTGTTTTACGTAAATGCTGGTAATATTACAAATGGTATATATAACCTTGGGGAAGTTATTTGGCACTGTATGGCATCGACTAATAATTACTATAAATTATTCAAGAGAATAAACACAAACTACATTTTTATTGCAGTGCTACCTATGATAACAAAAATCTAGAATGGGCTAAATGATCTGTAGAGGATATGTTTACTAAATTATGGCCCATCAGCATGATGGATTATTATATAGCCTTAAAAATGTGATTCTCAAGATAATGTAGATGCTTGAATGGTTTACCATCTAATTAGTGTCAAGAAGCACTGAATGCAAAGCATCCTCATTTGTCAGTATAAATGCCAGGGTTAAAGGCTAGAAGTTAATATGCAAAAATAGATATTGCTTTATGTAAGTGATGGGATTGTGGGCAATTTTTGTCTTTAATGTTAGTAATCATGTCTATTTTATTTTTTTATGTTTTTTTTTAATCCTCACCAGAGGACATTTTTGCATTTATCTTCAGACAGAGCAGCAGGGAAAGAGGGAGGAAGAGAGAGAGAGAGAAACATCGATGTGAGAGAGACACATCAGACACATCGAGTGGTTGCCACCCACATGACCCCAACCAGGGCCGGGGACCAACTGCAACCGAGGTACGCGCTCTTAGTAGGAATTGAACCCGGGTCTCTCTGGACCATGGGCTGATGCTCTAACTGCTGAGCCAAACCGGCCAGGGCTTTTTATGGTTTTTTTTAGTTGATTTTTTTTTTTTTAACCGAGAGAAGAAGGGAAAGAGAGAAAGAGGGAGATAGAAACATTGATGTGAGCCCTGGCCAGTTTGGCTCAGCGGTTAGAGCGTCGGCCTGCGGTCCGGAGAGACCCGGGTTCGGTTCCCGCTAAGGGCACGTACTTCGGTTGCAGTTTGTCCCCGGCCCTGGTTGGTCGTGCGGGTGGCAGCCACTCGATGTGTCCCTTCACGTCGATGTTTCTCTCTCTCTCTTTCTTCCTCTCTCTCCCTCCCACTCTATCTGTACAAAAAATGGAAAAATATCCTCGGGTGAGGATTAAAAAAAAAAAAAAAAAGAAACATTGATGTGAGAGAGACGTCAGTCAGCTGTCTCCTGCGTGCCTCTCACTGAGTATCAAGCCCACAACCCGGCACGTGCCCTGACTGGGAATCGAACTGGAACCTCCCAGTCCATGGGTCATGCGCAGTCCACTGAGCACACCAGCCGGGCAATCATGTCTTTATTTTTAAATGAACTTTATTTTGGGATAACTACAGATTTACAGGAAAGTTTCAAAGATAGTACAGCATTCCTGTAGATCCCTTACTTACTTTCTCCTATTGTCAGTGATAATTTCGTTTTTACATAATGTTTTTATCATTTTATTTAAAAAAAGAAACTATTCTGCCTGGCCGGTGCGGCTCAGTGGTGGAGCATCGACCCATGCACCAAGAGGTTGCTGGTTTGATTCCCAGTCAGGGCACATGCCCAGGTTGTGGGCCAAATCCCCAGTGAGGGGCATGCAGGAGGCGGCCAATCGATATTCTCTCTCCTCGATGTTTCTCTCTCCCTCTCCCTCTCCCTTCCTCTCTCTCTCAAATCAATAAAGATAAAATATTTTAAAAAACCTAACACACACAGCAAGCAGTGTAGGTGGTATTTTAAACAAAGGAAAAAGAAAATATCCCGAAGATGATAAAAACTGTTAGTAATTACTTATGTCCATTCCATGTTAATAGTCTGCAGTATACCTTTCCATACCTTTATCTTGGCTCTCACAAATCTGTATGTGTATATTATAATGTAATGTGCGATTAATATGCACATTATTCTGTAACTTGTTTTTTCACTTAATATACCATGGACATCCAGTGGTCTACAACCCTGTCTGTATATCACATCATCCTGGTGCTTTTAAAAATATTGATTCCCAGGTCCTGTCCACAGAGATTTTTACTCAGTATGGAGCTGGGCTCAGGAATCAGAATTTGTTTTAAGATACCTACATAATCTAATGTGCAAGTCATGTTTAAGAACTACACTTGTAGATAAATATATATCAGTCATACCCAGGTTTTTTTGGAGTAATAGCCATGGCTGTAATGGCCACAGCTATTCCAGTGTTTGTTCACTCATTTCTCTGTTGGGTTTCCAGATTTTTTTCTACCTTATATCAGTGCTGTAGTAAACATCCTGGTGCATCCTTACACATTGATACTTTCTATAGGATAGGCCTCAACAACGTATTTGCTGGGCCAAAGTATATTTGGGGATATATATATTTTAAATATTAATAACTCTTCCCAGATTACTTTCCTAAAGAAATCTTAGTAACTACAGATCCTTTTCACTGTTTTAAAGTATATAGCCTTTGCCATCACTCTTTCAAGATCAGTTCCATTTGCTCAGTGACACTTGACTGTTTTAAATTTATCGAGGTAACATTGGTTAATAACATTCTTAAATGGTAAAAGCCACTGAACTCTATTAAAGTGGTGGACTGTAAGCCTTTAGGAAAGTCTTTTGAAAGAAGAATTTAGAGGTGACTCTGTCTCATGTTTGGCTTGTGTTCTGGCCTCGGACACCTTCCTCTTAGTTTCTTTAGTACAGTATCGGAAAGGCGATTTGAAAGCTCAATCACAGCTTGGATGCTAGGAGAAAAGGTCTAAATGCTTGTCTCTAGGGCAATTCTTCACTTTGTCTGTCTCGGTAAAGGGCTGTCTGGCAAGGGTGTGCTTTGTAAAGAAAAGTATGTTGTAAGGATTAATATACTCAGTATTTTTTCCATAGGAGAAATTTACAAATTGACGTGCTTCTTCTTGCCCCTAAAATCAACCTCCTAATTCAGTGTTCTCATAAATGTGCCACTGAAGTACTCATAATTGCAAATGAAAGTGACCTTGTGCTCTAGATGTGTCTGGGTATTGTTCGAAATGACAGTTGAGGAATTTCTTTGAAGTGTCTTCTATTTTATATTCTGTTCCATAGAATATTTGTTTTACTATAAAAAAATATATTTTAAATGATTTGCTATCAGAAAGAAAAAGTTGAAAACATTTTTCCTCCGAAAGTTTTCACAAATTAACACTTACACACATTTATAAGGTGCACATCATCCAGGGCCAGTCACAGAAGTACTCCAGCTGTGAAGCATAGCCCTCATTTATTCCTGGTTCCTGTTCGTCTGCGATTGAGTTCATGACTTGAGCACAGATTTTGCTCATACCAGGGGAGTGCAGATTCCTGCTGTGCAAGCTTTTTGTTGTTGTTAATCCTCACCCGAGGATATTTTTCCATTGATTTTTTTTTGATAGAGTGGAAGGGAGGGAGGGAGAAGGAGAGAGAAAGAGAGAGAAACATTGATTGGTTGCCTCCAGGCTGGGGATGAAACTTGCAACCCAGGTACGTGCCCTTGATCAGGAATTGAAGGGGCCTCAGGCCAACACTAACGGCTGAGCCAAACCACCCAGGGCTGTGCAGACTTTTAAAAAATTGCTTCTGTCCTGTTGCTGTAACATCTATGAAAAACTTGGTGAAAATCAAGAAGCGATACTTTAATCTTTTCGTCTCTGGTCTCTGTAGGAGGAGAGGGCAGTGAGAGATCGGAATCTCCTCCAGGTTCAAGACCACGATCAGCCCATTCTGTGGAAAGTGCAGTTTAACTTGGGCAATAGCAGTCGGCCCAGCAACCAGTGCCGGAACTCCATCCAAGGGAAGCACCTCATCACGGACGAGCTAGGTATGGCGGCTCCTCCTGCAGTCAGCAGAGAGGGTTTTGATGCGGGTTTTACACAGTGCCCTTCTCCTTGCCCCTTTCCAGCATTTCCCACATGGTCTTTGTCTTTCATACCTGACTGACTCATTTTTTAAGGTTCCCCTCAACATCCGAGAAGCTTGGTGTGATCATTCTAACCCTGAAGTTCCTTGTACTTGTTCTAAAACTTAAGAGTTTTAGCATTTTATCATGCATCCCGCCTCTAGGCTACTTCAGCCAAACTCTACAGCTTTTTTTCTCATCTGGGTCAACTCTATAGGATAGGAGCTCAGCTTTCCTCCTTGGTGACCTGAGTAGTATTCACATAGCGTTGGCGCTTAGGAAGTGCATTTGGTGATGACTGACCGGATAATCTCAAGTGAGTTATAAACACATTCAAAATGTGTTACTGTTACAGGTAAAATATTGTCTGTTTTGCTGCTTTCCCCCAGACTTTTCTCTCTTCCTTTTAGTCAGAAAGGTGATTCCTGTGCTGGTGAGGTGGTTAGATTAGGTAGCTGCTGAAGTTTTCACCACTTTAAGACGGGCTCAGTCTTTCCAAAGAGGGACCCCCACTAATTCTCAGCCTGCCTTAATTCATCTCTTACTCTGTGCTGGGTACTGGGCTACCACTTTCATTGAATACCTCATTTGATTTTTGCAACAGTCCTATGAGGTCTAGATACTGCTATAAAATCTATAAAGGTATTGTCACTTTGTAGGTGAAGGCAGGCGCCAAGAGGTTAAGGAACTTAAGGAAAAACCAAATACCATTGCAAATAACCTGGGTTTTTTAAGTTTTTTTTAACGAGTGAAGTTTGGCGAAGGGACGCTACTTCCACAAGATGACAGAACCAGTCAGTGGGCAGACGTGGGCCTGGGACTGAGACTGAACTAGGAGTTCAGTGCCTTTTTGTTACGGATTGTTTGTATGACACTCATAGAAAACATGACATCTATGCTTTAATATTTACTGTTCAGTTGTGAATGACAATTTTTCATTTTGTAGCTAGCCAAAGAATACTTTTTCTCTGATTAATTTGAGTGAGACAGAGACTTCTCAGACTTTTTTTTTTAAATCTTCACCCAAGGATATTTTTAAAATTTTATCTTCAGACAGAGTGGGAGGGAGGGAAGGAGAGAGAGAACATTGATGTGAGGGAGACACATCTACTGGTTGCCACCTGCACGACCCCAACTGGGGCCAGGGACGAACCACAACTAAGGTATGTACCCTTGGCTGGAATCGAACCCTGAACTCTTTGGTCTGCAGGTTGACATGCTAACCGCTGAGCAAAACTGGCCAGGGCAGACTCAAACTTCTCAAGTAAAAAGTTCCAAGAATCAGTCAATTAAAAATTTAAGAGCCATTGATTGTATTTTACCTCCATGAATGTGGAAGAAGGGAGAAGCAGTTTCATAAAGAAAACTTGCAGGAATTTATGCTTTTTAGGAAGCAGATGTCACCATGAATATTGCCAGGGTAACACGTTATTAAATACGACAGCCAATTAGACTTTCAGACTTTTCAAAGGTTAGAAGTTAATTTCTCAGTCAATAGCAACACACTCTGAGGTTGTGATCTTACAAGAGTCCTTGTTGGAAAAGACATTTTCATGCTTAGATTTATGATGTAGAAGGTGAAGTCTTGATAACTTTCTTTCACCAGAAATTAGACCTGTGGTTTCAAGGCTGCTGCAGTTAGCACTGGGGAGGAAAAGAAGACCTAAGATGCTGACACATTGAATGTGGGAAGGAGAGAAGGGCAGAAATAGAATCTCAACTAGTGGAGTTTAGGTACTTTATATTTTACGTCTTCCTGACACAGAAGTGGTAAGATTACCATGTGTTTATTATTTGGGGCAGAATTTCGAGAAACATTTTGGCTTACTCAGATTTTTTTGTTTGTTTATAATCCCTGTGAAGAAAATGAGTAATAATAGTTAGGAATAATCCCAGAAACCTTTGAGATGGCATTCGAATCATCATCTCTTAGTTTAGACGTCAGAATGGCATAAAGGAACAGAATTCAGGTAAGCCCCAGTTTTCCAAATGTGAATGAGGGCTCTTTTAGTCTATTCCATTGTCGTGTGTTGCTAGTGCCTCCTGCTTTTGCACAGACTGTTTTCCAGAGTGGTTTCTGAAAACAACCTTGTACTTCACCAAGTCTCATTCTCTGAGGATTAAGAATCTGGGGCATTTGGGCCCTGGCCGGTTTGGCTCAGCGGTTGGAGCGTTGGCCTGTGGTCCAGAGATACCTGGGTTCGGTTCCCGCTAAGGGCATGTACCTTGGTTGCAGTTTGTCCCCGGCCTTGGTTGGGTTGTGCGGGTGGCGGCCACTTGATGTGTCTCTTTCATGTCGATGTTTCTCTCTCTCTCTCCCCCTCCCACTCTGTCTGAACAAAAAATGGAAAAATGTCCTCTGGTGAGGATAAAAAAAAAAAGCTGGGGCATTTGGAATGGAATGATCTAGGAACAGTTGCTCTGCACTTGTGGGCCTGGGCATATACCCATGGGCTCCCGTGTGCGCCTGGGAATTTCCCAAGGGCCAAGTGGTGTCCCCATGCACTTATTCTCACATTTTTCTTTCCTACTCCCGGAAGAATGTAGAGGAGTATCCGTTTAGCAGTTCTGGAATTAACTTTGCAGGGCAGTTCTTTCCTTACAGCTGCACATGGATTGGCTGGGTTGGAGGGAGTGTGTGTATAGAGATGGTGGGAATTAGGACTTTTCGTTCCTGGGTATTAGAGGGTTCCCTTTCCTCAGGCTGAGGGTGATTGGCTACTTGGCGTGTGTACTTCAAAACAGCTGAAGTCAATTTATAAAGGTGAGGTATGACTTCTCTTTTTAAAAATCATCCAAATAAATAAATGGCAAGCATTTAAAAGATACTTGAGGGGGTGGGGGAATATTTTTTTTTATCTAGAAGGATCTTGCTTTCTGGAATTAATGCCTTGATTTTTCCTATTTTCAGATTTTTGTTTGGGGAAAAAAAAGGCCTTTTTTTCCAGGTATAGATGAAAAAGTGGCTTGCCTAGGTTAGAACAAGAAAACATGGGTGTGACTTGACATGGTGATTAAATCAAACACACAACAGCAGACTAGCAGGTCGTTCTAGTTAGATGAGGATGTGGAGCCTACTTAGAATGTGGGGACTGGTGTTTGTTGAAGGACCGCAAGTAGGAAGCAAGCCCTCATCACATAGTGTCTGATATCCCTCCCTCTTCGGTGCTTGGATGCTCTGGACTCCGGATTCTGGTTCTCTGTTCTTTGTGTGCAGTGTGTTCGTTGCTGTGTCCAGATCACCCCTGGTAGGGCGTTGGGAGGCCTGCTGGCTTTATACTCGGGGTGGTCTCTGACTTGCAGGATACGTTTGTGAAAGGAAGGATTTGCTGGTGAATGGCTGCTGTAACGTCAACGTCCAGGGCACCAAGCAGTACTGCTGTGACGGCTGCTTGTCCAACGGCTGCTGCAGCGCCTACGAGCACTGCGTTTCCTGCTGCCTGCAGCCCAACAAGGTACGGGAGCTGCTCCTTGTCCCCCATCTCTCTTGTCTGTCCGCCTTTATTCCGTGGTGAGCACTGGCTTCCTCTGAAGACAGAACTTAGAAGGGAGCTTTGTAGGTGTCAGAAATTGCTGCCCTGAAGTAGCCTTTGTTTACAAGGAAGGAGGTGGTTCCCAGTTACATGAATGGTTCTTTTGCAGAATGGGCCATTGTGTTGCTAATCAGATATCAAATGAATAAGATACCAGCGCTTTTGCCCATTAGGGCTGGCTGCCCGCCTCTTTCTTACCCCCACCCCTACTCCTCATCAGCAGTCTCTTAGTTTAGGAGAAATATCCAAGGTTACCTTGTGCTGCTGAGTCTGGAATTTATTACAGATACTAACTTTTGTTTCCTTAGCAACTTCTCCTGGAGCGCTTCCTCAGCCGGGCAGCTGTGGCATTCCAGAACCTCTTCATGGCAGTGGAAGACCACTTTGAATTGTGTTTGGCTAAATGCAGGACCTCATCCCAGGTCAGAAGCTGGTGTTTCCAGCTGGCAAATGGGTGGGTGGGAGCAAGGACTAGAAGGAAATTTAAGAATATGATAATGGAGATATGATTTTGATATATCATATGATATGGGTGATAATGGAGAAGAGATTCAAATAAAGCTTTGTTCGTGGAGCGATACTGTTTAGAATGTCAACATGAGATTTATACAAGTTAGAGAAGTAAAATATTTATATTAAATCAAGATCTAATCAACTTGCATCCCCCCTGATTGGCATATCTATACTTTAAGTGGGAGCTTAAAATTGTTTTTAAGTCTGTGGAATCCTAATGGTCCAGTTTCTGAGAGAAGTTCTCTCAGAACTAAGGCTTTTTAGCAACCACTCATTGAGAGTAAGTAGTGATTTGTTCTGGGCCCGAGTTGTGGTTTATTTTAGGGTTCGAGGGGATGGGGCGGTGGTGTTTAAACCCGTGAGTCGCTGTAGGTCGTCAGGCTCTCAGTGCGTGTTAGCATGCCGTCACCACGCGCCCTGCTCTCCGGGCACTGAGAGAGGCCGCGCGGCTCGCTTTCCATCGCTGTGTCGTCGGCGCTCAGCTCTGGGGGTGGGCCGTCGTGGGGCTGTCTGTACAGTCACCAGCCGTGCTTGTCACACAAGCACACTTCTTCTGGCTTCTATTCATGGTGTCGCCAAGATTGTGCTGGCTTCGGCTGAGATAACCGACTCGTTTGTCAATTTCTGGAGCTCTTGTGCTCTGCCAGATGTCTGCAGTCCACCTCTTGATTTCACGCCCCTTTCTATGTCTCTGGTCTGCTCTTAGAGCATTCAGCATCATTGGGTAAATGTTTCAGGGGTTATAATGAGCATTTGAAAACATGGAGGAATTCCTGATGGGCTTGTTTTGTTGGAAGAACTTTCCACTTGAATGGGCCTTAAAGGAAATGTGGAGGAAGGCCGAGCACATGACTCATTTTGATTCAGATTCTCTCTCATTCTGAGAGACGCCAGAAAAGGCAAAACATTTTCTGTCCTTAACTGATAAAACCCAGGAGTTATTTCCATTTGTGAGTGAAGATGCTAAACTTTCCGACTTAGTCATTTTATTGTAAAGAGAGATTTCCCACTTGCCAATTTGTTTTGATAGCAGTATCCCAAGAAAGAGAGGCTTTTGGCTACACGCCTGTAAATTGGATTAATACTTACAGTGTCGATGTTTAGTATTGGTCTTGGGCTAATTAATGAACTCTAGACTAGCCAAAAACCCAAGTTGCCTGTATGAAAACAAATTGCTGAAAAATTAGCCATCGGGATGTTTGTCTGTTTTAAATCACACTTCCCATTTGCTTAGCCAAATGAGGCTTGTCTGGTATTGTGGGATTTGGCTCTCATGCCAAACCTAGAGGTACATAAAACTTTATGAAAGCAATTTGAAGTGTATCTCCTCCGTATCTGCAGGTTCATTCAGTACCAGCGACTGAGTTTCTGTGAAGTACAGGGTCAGATACAAAACACCCATTGGATCTTAATCTAATATAAAATAATTTGTGAAAAATAGTTGTCCTGAGTGGCCCAGGTTGCAGCAAGGTTGTTGAAAAACTCACTCGTGTACATAAAAAGAAACAGTCGTGCAGTGATGTTATGTCCATTTTCATGCTCTTCATTGGCATTCTGCGTTGAGCATTTGCCTTTGTTCCAGAAAGTGCCTTGGAGCCTTTTAGTGACATTTGGAGATGGATCGGGCCAGGCTCCTGCAGGGAGTGTCTGACAGCAGTCCCGCTCTGACCTGCGCAGCTCCGACAGGGAGGTGTGTGCGACTGCTCTCTCACGGGGCTCTTGTCTTCCCTTTTGCCAACAGAGCGTGCAGCACGAGAACACCTATAGGGACCCCATAGCAAAGCACTGCTACGGAGAGAGCCCTCCCGAGCTCTTCCCTGCGTGATGGGCACAGAGGACTTGCCGACCGCGCGGCTGAAGCACTTGCAGCCTGAAGCCAGGCCTCCGCAGTCGTGAGCCCCTTGGAAGAAGAGCGTTGTCGTGCGGAAACCTTGGCTTTGGCCACTTCGTGGGCTGTACTCTTTGGCTTCACTCCCCGCCGGGCTTAGCAGATGGGACTGATATGTAAAGCAGCTTGGAAACACCAGCGGGTCACATTTGGAAAAGACAAAACTGCAGGCGACCTTGTGAGTCGGTTGGCGCTGTGGGCACCCCCACCACTGCAGCTGCTCGGGGACCCGTGCTCACTCCCAGTGCTCATCGGGCCTTCACTGTAAAGTTATTTATTGGATTTCTTTGTAGTAGTGGGAAAATTATAATGTTTTATATTGGAAAATGCCTTGCCTTGATAGTTGAATATATTCAAGGAAACTGTTGTTGCTGTTGTTTTCTTGTGTTTTTGAGTGTCATGAGTTCAGTCCTCCCTTCACCCAGATAAAATGGCCTCGTAGGACTTGCATGTTCTCTCAAGGTGGTTATTTTGGTTTTTTTCTAACAGCACCTTCAGGGGTGGGCCCTGAACACTATGCTGACATCTAAGATTGTCTGACGTCTCAGAGACACTGCTCCGTGCAGGTCTGGTGCCAGGCTCCCAGCAGCTGGCGCCGTGGCTCTCGGATGTGTTTCTGGGGCTGTCTGGGATGCTCGTATGCCCACGTGTGAGCATCGCTTTGGCCAGAGCTGCTGATTTACTCTTCCAGAGGGTTTTGTTCTCGTTTCCTCTGAAGTGACTGTCCTGCTCAGCTGTGGGCAGTGGGAGCCTCGGGACAGTCCCCGCAGCCTCCTCTCCTCTGTGAAGGCGATTCCTCAATAGAGAGACATCTAGCAACTGGCTGTCAGCGGTCATCCTCGGTTGCTTCCAGCTGCATGAGATGTCACAGGTAATACGTTTGTTTTCCCTGTGCTTTGCAAAGAAGAAGAAAACCAGTCTCTAGCAAGGAGCTCCGAGAGACTTACCGTCTACCCTCGTAGGACGCGTGAACGCCAGACGTGCAGGTTGCTGGTCTGCATGCTGAGGCGGCTGCTACATCTCTCTGGGTCAAGGCCAGGAGGGCTCGGTCCTCAGATGGAGACCTGCCCCTTGAACAGTACACTCTGCACTCAGGAGAGCCATTAGTGCACAGCCCTTTCCTGGAGTCCCTCACTGACCCCAGGATAGGACAAGGTCGTTTCTTTTTTCTTTTTTTTTTTGGCTGTTCAGGTTGTGGACCTTGGAGCAGAGCACTAGATTTACATACAATCTGCTTTCCACTTTTTTTCCCAGTGGAGCTCTTTTGGGCGATGTCTGCCCTCCAGTATGTTTCTGCAGGCTGTAGTGGTCATTGCCCTTAACTTCCTCCTGTTACTTACACTTACCTTCCCAAAGTGGTTTGTTCTCATAAATATGTTTTCTTAGAGGGTAAACTGTATGTCTGGCAATTGTTCTTAAATGTTAGTCCCCAAGAAATGTATTTAGTTTGGAGTGGGCTTTTCGGGTTCTTTGTGTATTCATTGGTGCTAAATCAAACTTTGTACGTGAAAGAAATGTGCACGTCTGGATGTTTTACTACCTACCTGGTCCTTTTCCGTAACTCAGTATGAGATTTGAGTTCGTTTTCTCTTGTCACTGGTACCAGCCTCTCCTTTGAGCTTATTAGAACTCTTGAGCGATATAACGAAGATTAAATGTGAAGAGTTATGTGAGAGGCTTTCCCGTGAATACTAACCGTGACTTGAGTGTTGATTCAGCTTCGTGTTGTCCATGCTTTCACCAGCAGCACCTACACCTGTGCTGATAACTGTGCTCCCAGACGAGGCAGTCGGCAGAGGCGAAGTGACTTCCCGGAACCCCTGCTGAGATTTAATGACAGAACCACAACACTAACTTCATCTGGGGCCCGGGTCCCCTGTCCTTCCCACCACCCCTTGCCAGCTCCAACACTGACTCACCCGTCAGCATCCCCCCGAGAGCGTGTAGATTTCAGGGGCCCAGGCCAGAAGAGGGGAGAGGTGGTATAAATAGCTAAATTGGGTCGATAATCCAAAGGTTATTTTCATTTGGCCCTGGAATGTGTTTTTTGTACTTAGTCAATTAGGGGCGTGTTCACTGTTTTGGAAACTCCTGGCGCTGTAGACGACATAAGGAGGTCACCCAAGGCCCCGGCCTGGTGTCCCAGCCTTCCAACCCAGGACCTCTCCCTGCTGTCCAATCCCTGGTTTGTTCCTGGTTCCCCTGACGGAGGGTTTTGAGAATCAGAGACCTCGACTTGGTTTTATATACCTAGAACCTGGCAAAGTGCCTGATACTGGAGTTTTAGGAAAAGATCAAAGGAGGGACAGCACCTTTAGTTTAGGAAAAAATGATTAAATATTGAGTGTTTGAGGCTAAAGGTAATTAGGTAATTCAAAACTCTCCCCCCAGTTCTGAATGTTAATTACTATGCTCCTTGCTAGAAGCAGGCAAGATGAGCGATGGCGGCTGGGACAGAAACAACGGAGAAGTGGGAGGGCGCGGAGATGGGCCTGTACGAAGGACGGGGTGACCTGCCTCCACTGGGCCAGTGACCCTGGGCGGCCCCGGACCCAGCGCGCTGGAGCTGGCATTGAAGGGTGAGCTCGGCCGCTCTCGGAAAGCAGAGAACAGGGTTTTAGACCAGTGAATGTGGCTTTCAGGCTGCTGCTCCCCAAAACTTGGAGGCCTCGGGGGGGGGGGGGCCTCGGGTGTAGCTGCAAAGGAACGTGGGAGAATGGTCACACAATTTGCTTTTTCCATTGTTGAGGTTTACAGATGAATTGTTGCTGTACAGAGATGCTGCCTATTTGCTATACTCACAGGCAGGGGAGACTTCTGTCTTGTCCTCAGTAACCAGCACCCGCGGATGGCATGACCTTGGGCACTTGGGCCCTTCCTCGGTCAAATCTGATCACATCAAATCTGATCACATCTGCCTCTCGTGGGGTTGTGAGGGGGCAGGAAGTCTCTGCACCCAGCAGGGGAGTGAGGTCACAGGGTCTGCACGGTGGGAATAGGTCGGCCCCTGGTGTGGAAGGGTGGTACTTACAGCGCTCTTAGTATTGATTTATTACTAGGTTTAAAAGAACTCATGCCAAAGATAAAAAGTTTCAGATAATTCAGAAGTACGTAAAGATGAAAGTAATAATCTAAAGTCACACACCCTGGAGACAAGCCTGTCTCTTTTCCCAAACGACTTTTTCCGGCAGCAGTGAGCGCACATTTTCCTCTGGAAAACAATCCCGTAATGGACGTTTGTGTGCCACACAGAGGCCATGTGATACCTCATGGCCACATGGTATCAATTTCATGGATCTGCAACAATGTTATGAACCCCCCGCTGAGCACCTCGCTACCTTTTCTTGCTACTACAAGGAATGCATTGGTATGCTTTCCTGTACACATTGTTTATGTTTATCTGGTAACTTCACCCATTTTTGATTCTCGCCTTCACTGCGAGGGAGTGTCTCTTTTGCCATACCCTTGAGTTTAACCCTGTGTTACCATTTTTTAACTCTGTTAATGGGTCTCTGCATCCTAATTCGTATTTATGTAGTTTCTAGCGAGGTGTTTGGTTGGCCGTCGATCACTCAGATGTGAAGTGCCTGTCGGTGACCCTGACGGAGCAGTCTTACCTGAAAGAAGCTTCCACCCCTTTTCTCTTCCTTCCCAGCCCTGCTCACACCCACCTGTGTGTACACGGAAGCCACGGCTCATGTTAACCAACTTTCCAGTTCACGTAGAGCCGCGAATGGGGCAGTTTTGTCCGGAGACTTTGTCACAACTGGGGGAGTGTGGTGCACCGAGTGGGTGGAGGCCAGGGATGCTGCTGAGCACCCTGCAGTGCCCAGGACAGCTCCCACGACACAGAATTACCCGGTTCAAGTGGAGCCACGCCCAGGCAGAGAGACCCTCCTCCGGGGTCCTGTCACCCCCTTAGGTTGAAGAGGGGCAGGAGCGGGTGCTGACTTCAGGTCCCTGCCTTTGCCTCCGCGGTGCTGAAGTGCCGCTGATTAAATTACCCCGCAGTCCCACGAGACCGCCACTCTGCACAGGTCTCCAGCAGCTCAGTGCTGCCTCAGGAACAGCATTATCACCCGACTCTCCACAGTGTCCTTCACACCAACAGCACAGGTGCAGGCATCCTCCCCCTGCAGGCTGACCGGAGGTTTATGCACGGTGCCCTCCCCTCTGCAGGCTGACCGGAGGTTTATACACGGTGCCCTCCCCTCTGCAGGCGGACCGGAGGTTTATACACGGTGCCCTCCCCTCTGCAGGCTGACCGGAGGTTTATACACGGTGCCCTCCCCTCTGCAGGCGGACCGGAGGTTTATACACGGTGCCCTCCCCTCTGCAGGCTGACTGGAGGTTTATGCATGGTGCCCTCCCCTCTACAGGCTGACCGGAGGTTTATACACGGTGCCCTCCCCTCTACAGGCTGACTGGAGGTTTATGAACGGTGCCCTCCCCTCTGCAGGCGGACCGGAGGTTTATGCACGGTGCCCTCCCCTCTGCAGGCGGACCGGAGGTTTATGCACGGTGCCCTCCCCTCTGCAGGCGGACCGGAGGTTTATGCACGGTGCCCTCCCCTCTGCAGGCGGACCGGAGGTTTATGCACGGTGCCCTCCCCTCTGCAGGCGGACCGGAGGTTTATGAACGGTTCCCTCCCCTCTACAGGCTGACCGGAGGTTTATGAACGGTTCCCTCCCCTCTACAGGCTGACTGGAGGTTTATGAACGGTGCCCTCCCCTCTACGACAGACTGTTCTCCCCAGGACCTGCACGGCAGCTCTTTACACGGAGGGACTTTGGTGGTGGGGGAGGAGGGATGGGAAATGCCACTATAGACTCCATTTGGAAAAGTAGTCATTCTATTATAAAAAGGTACCACATCAATAAGTAGCGATAATTATTTTAAAAAGCCAGTGTGATCATGAGAGTTCATGCTGCACAGTCACTTCTCCTGCCTCTGGCTTTGCCTCCCAGGCCCTTTCCCGTGTGCGTTTGTCTTGCATGGTTGGTTCATGGTGCGAGTACTGCTTGGGTACCGGCATCCCTGTCTTCGCTCAGTCGCGTGTCTGCAATGTTCCTCTCCCGTCTGAGTTCACACGAAGGGAACAGGTGGCAGCAGCCGTCCGCGGTGAGTGGGGAACAGCGTGGGTCCTGTTCACGTGGCGACTCCGTGTCCCAGCGGAATCTCGCCACTTCCGTGTGTGTACCGCTCGATTCCTGTCTGATGGTACAGCTGAACCACCGGGCTTTCTGTGAAAGGAAGTATAGGCTTTAACATCGTAAACAACTTGCCAGCTACAACCCATGGGCAAAGCAGTTAATTAGATATTTGATCAGGAGTCCAGTTTTATTATTTCTCAGGTCTGCACGATCTGTGGACCCCAAGGGACCCAAACACATTGCTGCTAGAAGTGCATTATTTGTAAGTGGGTGCTTTCAGAGTTTTGTGATAGGGTAGATACTTTTTGAAGTCTTTGAACCTTTTAAATTCATAAATTTAAAAAATTCTTTTTTTTTATCCTTACCCGCGGACATTTTTGCATTTATCTTCAGACAGAGCGGGAGGGAGAGAGGGAGAAAGAGAGAGAGAAGAACTTCGACGTGAGAGACCCAGGTGACCTCAACTGGGGCCAGGGACAAACTGTAACCGAGGCACATGCCCCTAGTGGGAACCGAACCCGAGACTCTGGTCTGTGGGCCGATGCTCCAACCGCTGAGCCAAACCAACCAGGACAAAAAAAACCCCACTTTTTAAAAAATTCTCATTTGAAGATTTTTTCCCATTGATTTTTAGAGAGAGTGAGAGGGAGGAAGAGAGAGACATCAATTGGTTGCTTCCTACTCGAACCTGACCAGAGCCAGAGATCAAACCTGCAACCCAGGTACGTGTCCTTAACTGGAAATCAAACCTGCAGTCCTTTGGTCCACGGGGCGATGCTCTAACTGCTGAGCAACACTGGCCAGGGCTCCTTCATACACTTTTTAATGCAACGTAGAGTAGGCTAGCTCTGGTCAGCTTGCATTGAGATTGTCACAGAATCGAAGTGGGGTCGGCTAAATGAGGAATCACTATGATCAGTGAAATTCAAGACTTCACACTGTAGGCCACACCTCCCTATAACTAGCTGTGTGTGACAACAGCGACATGAACTGTGCGAGTAGCATTGTCATTTTATTGACAGGAACACAAGTATTAACAACCTTGGGTGAATGAACCTCTTCTGGCTTTGGTTTCCTCTCGCGAAGGTATCTCGCAGAACCGGAATTCTGATCTTTGTGACCAGCCAAAGACCCCACGTATTAATTAAGGCCAAGAGCCCGTGTCTCCTGGCGGCTGGTCCGTGGCTTTGCCTCACGGAGTGTGTGGAGACCAGCCATCTGGAGCCGATTTTCCTCAAACCAGAGCCTCCCCCTCGAAGATTGCAACTGAGGCTGGCCATTTTCTGCCTCTTCCTCCTCAAATTTTAAATAGACACCACGTTCTCCTCTGCTGGGACCCACTTATCACGTAGTGCCACTCTGCACCTGTGCGAACAGCTGTTGTGTTTTCCGTCATAAAACCAGCTGCCTTTGTCAGAGAAGCACAGAACTACTCGGTAGCTGTGCCTTAGT